CTGGCACAGTACGTGCACGCCAGGTCTCTGTGGTTCGCTGCCAGCACCGATGTCCCTTACCTGGGAAAGGAGCCAGCACTTGGTGGGAGTTGGGCCCCACACTTATATCTGACATGAAGGTCTTTGGTCTAGCCTGTCACTGCAGCAGAGCTCAGAAAAAAAGGATACATACCCAAGAAAATTTCAAAGAGTTGTTTCTGTTCAAGGAGAGAAAACCCGGAAAGATACAATTCAAGCTAAAGTCTCATTAAGATCCAAGACTGGCCCTTTGTCCACTAACCACATCATAAAATCATGGAATGGTTTGGGTTGGAAGGGACATTAAAAATCATTAGGCCCCCATCACACACACCTCCACCACCCTGTAAGGACAGGAGGCTTCTACATTTGTAACTCTGTGCATGTTAAGTATTTAAGAAAAAAAACTTCTGCAAAGAAGACTTTTTATCTTCATCAGTGGGTCACTAATACAGACTCTTTATAATTTTGATCACACCCCTCTCTTGTACAACTGCTTAAATGGTCCAGCTTGCCAAATGCATCTATTTCCTGATATTTTACGATACGAAAAATATTACAGAGGGAATCTTCTCAATTCAGGGATATCACCAAAGAGGATGGAAAAAAGGTGTTCTGCAAGAATCACTGATGGCCATCCTAAATTATTTTTGTTTTCAAAAGCAATTTTGCATTCTTGTACTTGTGGACCACATAAAAAGATACAACTTCATGAGAAACAGCATTTCAAATGTTTTTTCCTGTTAAACATGGGGTTTTTTCTAGAGCATAAGGGGTCTCCTAAAGGTTAAAGCTTTACTTCTCATTTTAAGCACCATTTTAAGAAACCTGTTCTGTACTGCCTATTCAAATATGTACAGCCTATTACAGAACACAAAAACATAACTAAGCACAGTCTTCAACTATCAGCTACTACACTGTCCTGTTTTATTACTTGTGTTACTTGCTCCTGTACAACCTGTTTTTTTAAAAGATTTTACAGGAATAGTTCATTGGCTTTTGAACAGTTGCAATTTAGATACATCTGGAATAGGTAGTTAATATTAATATTATAGAATAAAATAACAGTGAATAAAATAATAGAACTTGACATCACCTGAAATAAAATCCTAGCAATCTTCTACAAGCCCTATAATTCTTAGTTCCCTAAAACCCTTTAACAATACTGAAACAATTTTTAATTACTTACAACCCTTTAAATTGCAAAACACTTGTAGAGCAAGTCTTCCACTTATTTACAGAATATTCACTTATAGAAGGGGGAAATTATTTCATTACCTGTCATTGTCAACTAAGATTAATTGAAAACCACAGCTTTTTTCATAAATAAAAATTAAGGCTCTAAACCATCAAGGTGTAAGAGACGAAAGGGTCACTTGAAATGTAAACACTCCTTACACCTGCCACAGGATAGTGTGAGAGTAGTGTAGCTATTAAACCACCTTAACTTTTGAAGCTACTGCTTGGATTTATGCCACAGAAAACTAGTCTACCAAGACACCCATTCTTAATCTCAGATTGTTTCTGGAATAAAACTTCTTCCTTATCTTTGCTATGCCTGTAACTGGCCTGCTATGAGTAACAGAATACACCTCTTTTCCCCTAAGTTGGATCTAGTAAATGTATCCTCAAATCAAGACTGAAAATTGCCTACATATTTTAAAACGACAGGTCTCAGTAGTATCAAGCCAAACATTGTAACACAGGTTTAAGAAAGTCTTCCTTGAACACCTTCCTTGAACATGGTTCTTAAGAGAAAGATCTTTAACAAGATCACACGATGATCTCTGCCATTAATATTATTGCCTTACTTCCACCTCCTGGCTTACTTTGTTATTACTCTCATTCATTGCATCTCAAAGAGCCTGGTATCAAGTTAAGAACACGAGGTGCTCTTAAAAAGGTTATTTTAAGATGTTATTCCCATTTCTAGCTCTTCTGTAAACTGTCATTTGTTATTTCAAAGTAAGGCCTTACAGGGTCAGTAAAGTGCAGTACCTTTATTTAGTATACACACAGTCTGCCCACAATTGCAGTTTACCATCTCTAACCATTTCTCTTTTACAGGAAAAGTGTTAGGAAGCAAGTAGCCTGTGCCTAACCTTTCTAACCTAAACACTGTCACTCCAGATAGGTACCACACCTTACCATGAATAGAATGCAGAGATTGAGAAGCCCTAAATCCAAGATCTATTTTTCCCTTTAGCATTTGGTCCTCTTTCCACTAGTATTTCATCACAAAATTTCCAGAAAATATGAGTGTTCAATACTGACAACAAGAAGAAACCTTCGCTTTAGTATTTATAGCAAAATTGTATCTTCTACAGCAGCAAACCCATCAACACACTTTAAAGCCGTTAAACATCACCTGTCCATGCTGGCTCTTTAAGGTTTAGTGCTTCACATCATAGCTGAGCTGCATTTACTGCTTGCTGTCTCTCCTTGAAAATATATCAACACACACTTCTGGAAAGGTTCCAAATTCCTAGAACTGCTTTTTAAGTCACCAAGAACACATGTTGAAAGACTGGACTGAAATAGTTTCAGGTCTTAAAACACTTCCAATGCCTAATGCTTTAGTACAGGTCTTCCTAAGCCTACAAGAAAATCTTCACAAGTCAGAAATGAAAAAGAATACTACTTGGAGTTGCTTTACTGCTTGCAGCCAACAATTCCATTTCTCCCCCTTTTAAGATTTTAATACCAGAATTAAAAACAAAACCCCCAAATCCCACATACCTTCTTTCATCATAATAGCTTATAAAAAATGATCTTGTAAACAGAGCTGTTAAGTTCACATAAATTTATCCTCTAAAATACCCTGAATTTGAAGAATCTCTGAGAAGATAACTATATGAGTCATAAATAACCACACTTACATTCCTTTCTCTTTCATAAAGGGAAAGAAAAACTTGCTCTTACTTTGGAACAAATTCCACTGCCTGCAAAATACATGCTGTCCCTCCCTTTCCCCATTCTACCATTAAAAAATAAATTCTTACAAATATAGAAGATACTACAAAATACGTGAAAGTCGAGAATAATTCCTACTCATGTGTGAAAATATGTGCCTATATCAAGCCTCAGGTATTTGATAATCATACATTTTTCTTGTCAGCCTTGTCAGATGATTCTTACTAATTCTTTGTTTAACTTCTGTTTGTGTTGAGACACTTACACTGGGTCACTCCAAAAAGAGTGAGACATAGTCAAAGGAAAGATAAGGCTGCATGACTAAGAGCAAGGTGAGGACAGCAAGATCTTCCCTCCTCCTTTCAACTGCTGTTATTGTTGACTCAATTGCTCACCAAACACAAGTCTTCATTCTACCTTAATTTATCCTTTGGCTGTGGGTAAGACAAGGCTATTTTCCACAGTCATTGCTTAAATTGCCTCAAGCAGCCTGAAGCCCCTGCCTTCCCACTCAGTATCTCATGTAACTACAGCGTTGTACTAGCTGAAGCACTCCTACCAATGTGCTATGAAAGAGGCTGGGGAAATGATTTGGCTGCACATTCCCATGTCATTCGTTGTGGTTGAGGTATTACAGCTGCTCAGGCTGCTGCCCAGCACACCACTCCAGCTGGATGCCTGCTTCCCCTTTAACCCCTGCCTGCCTGCAAAACATACACATGCTTTCTCTGGGTCATCTCCCAAAAAAAAGCAAGAGAAGGGAATTAAGGAGGAGACAGCTTAAATCCTTCAACTATCACAGCACTGAAGATTTAACTGCAGAAACAGCCGAGGTAGTGGTTTCCCCACTGCTCAACCCCATCTAAACTGGCATTGTCACAGCCTTCACCACTGCACCTCTCAGCCTCACATTCACACTTCCTTCCTCTGCTCAGTGCTGGCACACGTCCATCTATGTGGCAAATTGGTTTGGGATGCTCAACAGCTGAGATCTTGACCATCTTCCTTAGTCATGCTGGTTTGACATACTTAACCAGGCTTATGGTACAGTCAGACAAAGGAAAGTGTTAGCACAAGACAGAAAAGAGTAGGAGAATGAAGGGACAGAGTAGAGTATGACTGCAACAGTAACAAACAACTTTAATCACTTTAAACCATCTCTTGGTGGTACAAGAAAAATGTGACAGCAATCTAAATCAACTTCTTTCAGCTAGAAACTGCTGCTGTCATGGTTCTCTCCAATGTTCTGCAGCAATAAGAGCCAGTACTACTTAGTGAATTTACTGATAATCTTCTAGCATTCTGCAAGTGTTAATTAAGCTTCAGAGCATTCTATATAAAAGACAAATAACTAAGATTTTAACACTGGATCTCCCTAGTTTTTTCCTCTGGATTCATTAATTAGCATCCATGGATTTTTCATCCTTTTCAAATAAGAAAGCAACTGTGCCTTAGATGAAGTATCTAATTTTGCATTTTGCTACATGAAACTAAACCAGTACTATTTTCATTGCTTAATGCAAAATGTTGAGTCAAATAATGAAGACTAACAGGATTCCACAGAGCTGTAACTGACTGCAGATTGTGCCATGAACAGTTTACTATGGAACCAGAAGCACTGCTACCCATCTGTTCAGACTCTCAGTATTTAAAGTGCATGACCACAATCAAGGATACTTAACTTTCAGAAAACAAAACAAACATCTCCCTCATGACCCCTGTTTCCTGAGTTTTCATTCTCCAGAACTTGACATCACTCATGCTGGAAAATTACTTACCAACAGCAACCAGTTTTTCAGACCTAAATCTCAGAAGCAAGTTTTCCTTGCAAAGCTTCATTAAAAAAAAAATAATTTTTTTTCTGTGACAGATTTGAACAACAGGGAGTATTTACTAGCATGCACAGAGATCACAAACAGGGGTCAGGTCATCTCTGTCTTTCATTAGTTTTATTTGTTAGAATTTCACGATAGCCATAAAATTCTGATTCCTTTCAGCATGGAAAATACATCTTTTATCCCCAGGCAAAAAATGCATGTTAAACAAACAGAAAACCACTGCAAACTTACTCTCTAGTTCTTCTTTCTCAAAATTTGTATTGATAGTAGAGCTGATTTTGCCCATATCCACAACAGCTTCTTCATCATGACCCTGAAGAAAGGAGACACAAGTTTAAGTTAAAAACTAAGTAGAACTAATTTTTTCCTAAATTTCTAAATATGTTTTGAAACAGTATATCAAAGTTTTCTAAACCAGGACATTTTCACCACTTAGAAATTGAGGATGAAAACATCACTGAAAATCTCCCCATCCAATTCTTCAAGAAAACGTTACCCGATGTTGAAGGAAAAAGAGAGTAAATCAACAGGCAGGCTAAACACCATGCAATTTGCTTTTGCAATGCTCTTGATTCTATCGCATAAATGGTCAGGACATACATTTCAGGAGGCAGTATTCTTCTAGTTTTTTATTCAACAGCAATCAATCTATTTCAATAAAATAACTGGCAAATTAATAGGAAGTTACATCACTTGACACTCAGAGATCCTGAACTCATCTGCTTAAGGGACAATTCCTGTGTGAGATTTTCCAGCACAAATAAGAAGCTTTTGTGAACAAAGGAGTAGCAAAAGGGTTAAGTTACACAACTTGGGGGCTTCTCCTAGACCAACAGCTCTGGGAAGATGAAAATAACTGCTTCACTCAGGTTTCAACAGCCAGTTTGTTAACCATGTCCCTACTTAATTCACTGGGGTTTTTTAGGTCCAAAATTACAAAGTAGTCGTTTCAAGAAGACCTGTTCAGATTCCATTACTATTAAAATCACACCACTCATAATGCAAAAGTACAGTATTTGAAATAAATATAAGCTCAAGAATGACGCGTATTTCTGAACATGTCCTCTAATCACATCTAGCACATCACTAAAGCAGACCTTAAAACACTGCCTTTTGCTCAGCCTTGACAGAAATTAAGTAACTGAGCAGCAGAAATCTCAATCTCATCTCAGACCTGACATCAAAAATAACACTAACCTTGCCTTTCTGCGTGTGTTTGCATTCCTTAGAATACAGTCCACTTTTAACAGCTCACAAATTACAGCCTCCTGACAGAACTGGTTCTCCAAAAGACCTACAGCCTAAGGGTAGTGCTTTACATCCAAGTATAAGGGCACACTAACTGCTAAAGATTACTTCCCCGCTCTTTCTGCTCCCTTGGGCACAGGTTTTTTTCCTTAAACCAGACCTAACAATCATGAAATCAGATAAAAAGTGCTTAAGCAATGGATTTTATGTTTTTAGCTTTTTTAATAACAACTTAATTAGTTTTCCACTGGATCAGTTCACTAAAGTGACTCTTCCTGAGGAAAAAAACAGAAGCCTAAATCCGGAGTCTTACACAGACTGGGAACCCTAACGGTGTTGACACTCACCTAAACTTTGGTCTTAGAATTATGCAATTGCTTTATATATAGAACAAGTTTGTCATCTCACAGGAAAGCGACAAGGATGAAAAACAACATACCTGTTAAACAGGTTCAAGTCAAAACATTCTGTAGTAGGTGTCCCCCCAAAGAAAGGGTTTTTTGAACATGTACCTCCTCAGTCTTAACAAAAAAAATATTTACTACAGTGTATTGAGCACACATACAAACACACACCAAAATATATCTAAATCTTTGGTTGCCTATTGGGGAAAGGAGATTAGAGAATATGAAGATGACAAACACCACATACTGGGAACAAAAAAAAAAAAATCAGATGAGGTTTAAAAAAAGGTTAAAGACAGTTAGACTGCAAAAAAACTCAAAACCCAAAAACCACCAAAAAAACCCAACAACAGCAGTTGGTACTATGTAAGTATTCAAGAATACAAGAGAAAAACAGAGTGGTACATGGCAGAACAAACCCCTGAAAACTAAATAAAGGTTGATTCTGAGTTGTGTTCCTAAAAATAGGGTTTTCAAGAAAGGCATTACACCATAACCTAAACTTTGTCACTACTGCTGCATTGCAAAAGTAATTTTTCATGCAGGTTAGAAAAAACAAAATTTCTGCACACTTCACACAGCTGTAATTAAAAAAAATCGGGTGATTAAACAAAAGTCATGTCTGTTGGACAAATCTGTGAAAATGTTATAAGGACCTATTAATGAAGAATTGGCAGAAATTTAAAATGTGTCATGGCAGGATGTTGGGAGAGTGATGGGGGGGGGGAATAGTATTTCCTGTCTCCTACACAGCAAAATCAAATATATTGTAATACACCCCAGTTCACAGAAACAGATCTTGAACACTACCATTAAACTCCAAATAGAGATGAATATAGATGGAAGAATTACAAATCCTCTAAACTATCTTAAGTGTTATACCACATGTGAGAGGGGAAAAAAAACAACAAAAAAACAACTAATAATAGGAAAACTGCTATCAAAACTCATTCCATAATTAACTTCATGGTTACAGCCATGGTTACTGCTGAAAAACCCTGTATCTAAACACACTCATCCTCAACAATCCTTTTAGGACCCTTGAAATCTGGCCAAACACACAGTTTTTGAGCAATAAAGGAAGACAAAGTTTTTCTCCAGATTATACAAATTACTGCATACCAACAGAAAACTACAGACGCAAGAAAAGATTTTTATCTCCAATAACATTTTGAGACGGTATTTGCTGTATGCCCTATATGATATTATTAATATTTATCACCCTTTGTTTTAGTAGAAGAGGTTCTTTGCCAAACTCAAACATATAGAAGCAGCCTTCAAAAACCACACCATGTGTAAAGTAACATGACTTTTAAGATTAGATTACAGGAAGGTATGTGTGCCCTTGCAAACGGTTCTATCACCATCTCAAAGTACTCAACATATGCAAAGACTCTTCCAAGAATAAACCATCAACAACCACAAATATCATACATGAAGAAAGCATATCATTTACAGTCTTTGTTCAGGAAAACACAAAGCATCATATCTGTTTGCAATGCCGAGAGCAAATCCCAGTATGAGATACTTTTACCTTAGGTCAGGTAAAAAACCAAAAATATTCAAATACGCTATAAAAGTAATTCCAAACTACAACCTTTTCCTGGTTAAAAATAAAGTCTGTAGGGCATAGGTTTCCAATAATTCTAGATCTACCATGTCAGTTGAAGGCACAAAAGAGAGGGAAAATTATTACAGTTGCCATTTTAGTTCTCTCTTCTACTTTCTGAACCTTTTACATACATAAACAAAGAGCGGTAGGACTGCTGAGAACTTGTCAACTTCCCTTTTTTAGGCACAGAGAAGGACTTGAGCTTAAAGCAAGCATTCCTCCGTAGTTTACCAGCCACTTCATGTGAAACTTTACGTATAATAATCCCACAGATGCCCAAATACAGCTGCTGAAGATGAGCCAAAGTAAAATTTAAGACTAATTTAGAATGTATGCAACTTTCATTCTCAGTCAAGAGACAGAACAACTGAGAAGGGGGAAAAAAAACCAAGAGAAGTAGCAACTAAGATTAAGCCTTCATATTTGGTTAGTCTTTTTTTTTTTTTTAAGGAGATGGTAATTTATAAAACCACAACAAATCCAGCATACTTCAGGGGGTGCTGGGGCAGGGAGAAAAGAAAAAGCCTAGTACATTATATTGAGATACACTATGTATACTTTTTCCTAACACCCGGATACTCACAGACATACAGAAACAACCCTCCAGTAAAACCTTCATATACAGCCAGAGGTGCCTAGATACACTAGAACCTGTCTTCTCAGCTTTCTAATTCTCCCCAGCATGAAAATGAAATTCCTTTTCAACTGCTGCAGATCAGACTAATACTCTGTACTCTAGCAGACTTCCAGTAGGATTCCTCTTGCCACCTCTGATTTTCAAATGTTTTTTCTCAGTCCAGGAGGAAAGAGTAAGTCTCCTTTACAGACAAACAAGTACCCAAAAATTCACTTCAAGAGTTAGAAATTAACACTTCACCTTGTCAAACATTTGTCATCATTTAGTACAGTACACTTTTTATATCTACAATATTAGTGCTACGCATTTTTTAGAAGTACTGTTGAGAAAGAGAGTCAATCCTAAATTGCACGGATCACGAAGGAAAGCTCCTAAAGTCTGGAAGAACTAACAACCTCCAGCAGTAAGTGTTAGCTACCATATAGTGGACTAGCACAAATATGACGCACAGAGTATTAAATCCAAAGGCAAGTTTCCACTGTCATCTGTACAAGCTCTTCTCACCATGCAACTCACTTAACCTTATGCAGTCACATACACGACAGACTCCAGACAGGCACACTGCCAAAGTGCATCACTGAATAACCACTTCCAAGACAGACAACTTGCTAGCAGCACATTTTTAAGGTACTTGAAATATGGTTCAATAGATTCATTCTGGTGTTCGGCAGTGATCGTAAATGGCTGATACAGCTAATGTAAACCTTTGAAGTCTATGAGCAATTCAGTAATTGTTTTGAGAATAATTCGAGCTCAACATTTAAGATCATTACTTAACTAAGCCAATGTTCATGTGCTCCATTTACACTGCCTCAGACCAAAGGGAGGGACTTGCAGACCAGAAGAGACAGCACGCATGCTCATGGAAATAAGTAAGTAGGGCATGGGAGAGGGCAAAACCAAACAAAAACAAAAACCCTACAAGCACCATCATCCCTCCTCCCCCACCCCCACAAAAAATGTACATTACCACTTTCATGCTACAAAGAAGCTTCACTGCAGCATTTATCGAAGTAGGTGAAAATGAAGGGGAAAAAAAAACTAAACCCAAAACAAAAACCACCACAACCAATTGAAACAAACAAAGCCAATTTAAAAACAAACAAAAATAAAACCAACTAATTAAAAAAAAAAAAAAAACACAAACAACTAAGCCCAACTCAGGGCGGGGGGAGTGGGGTGTGTATTCATATCTACTTTTTTCCCTTATACCTGTCCCTTATACTTTTTCCTTATATCTGTTCTTGGCCAAGAGTTTAATAATTATTATTTTAATAATATTCTAATACAACTGCCTACACCATCACAGTGAACCTACATACTGTTTTATGACTGTAACTATAACCCAATCTCCCTGACTTGAAGAGAAAGCAAGTAATTTCCCCCCTCCTTCCCACAAGAACCCATGAACA